GGGCTGATCAAAGCCAGGACACAGCTAACCCATAGATCACATTGCATTTTAGCGTGTTGAGTTTGGCGGAGGGAGAAAACATGAAGAAAACCTAAGGAATTAAGAGGTAGTTTTTCAGTGATGTCTGGGAAGGACAAWTAACTCACCACTTGAGGAGCGCCATTCTTATCCAAGCAAGGATACGGTCCAGAATACACCTGTGGCTGTTCTAGTTTTTGTCTTTTATTCCAGAGGTGCTCATCTTTAATGGCTACATCGTTAGATATCAAATAAGCCGCTGTATGGATAATCAGAGACAATAGCAATCAGTTCAATTGTATGAAGAGAAAAAGAGATAGAGGATATTACATGGGCGCGCGGAGATACGAAATTTATCTTAAAAGATCTCTCACGCAGCGCAGCGAACGAGTGAGAGATTTTCAACACAAGAAGATAAATTACGTATCTCCAAGCGACCATGTAACATTCTGTTTATTACATAATTGTCCATAAAACCAACTTAATAAAGCTTTTTATTATCGTAACAAACTAATAGCTTAAATACACATGGTAACAATATTTTCACATGTGAAAATAACATGTTATTTTCAATAATAAAGCAAAAATAACATTATTCATGCAAACAAGGTATTTTTTACACACCCTGTGAGTCTAATAGATTTAAAGAATAAGTCGACTCACCTGAAGTAGTATGAATGGCAACAGGAATACAAATATATATTAGTACAGGAAGGGAACTGTCCTTGATTCAAGAGCAAACAACACACTTACATTTCAAAACCAGTGTAAATAACAAATAAATGTGTCAACATTTTAAACATTTTAATAGAATCATTAGAATTTCTTACTTATTATAAAATATTACAAATTTAGCCTGTCTTACCATTTTGAAATAGTCATATAGAGAATTTTAAAACGGGTGCTGCAAATTTTTGAATGACCAAAACAGGTCGTAGCAGTTTTCGATTATGCTCGGAATTATTTATTTATGTCTGTGATCGCAACGGGCAATTTTAACTTCCTATTTTATTCCCGTCATACAAACGTGTCCCATGAGGCTAAGTAAAAGTCATATCCAAAGCTAAATTTTACTTTTCTTCTCTTTTTTAGCCGAAAAATTGCGATCTTGGTAGAACTCGACCAAGACTTTCCTCTAAAAGGAGTGGGTTTTCGACCATTTTCCAACGTTTTGTCAAAATAAATCCAAAACGAGAACGGTGGTCTAATTTTTCCACTAGGTGCACGAGTCAAATTCGTCGAACTTTCGAAGTTCCAAACGAGTGTTTTTAAGGCTTTTTCGCAGAAGAAACACTTCAAGACACATAATAAACTATTGATCTTTATTTCCAGATATTTTTTTCCAGAAAGATCGACTACTGAAGAAAGATTTTAGAAGCAGAATTTGAACTCCATCGATAAACAGCTACCTCTGTGCAACACTGGGGATCCCTAACCAGAGAAATCCGAAACCACTAATACTTAGGATAGTATACCTGTGGCTTGTGGAATAAAAGGCGCTCAAGAAGCGCATGTGGTTAGCCCATGAGTTCAACCATGTGATCAGAACGGACCAAAAAAATGAACTTGTGTATAAAATGCATTTCCAATGAACTTTGTGACAAATGTGAAACGTAAATCTCCTCAGTATACATACATGAGAAATTATGCTACATTTACGCTTATTTTATTTAAAATTTTTGGTTTTACTTAGTGTTTGAGGTTTTTAAAGCCATATAAAAATCTCGAACCATGTATTTATGTGTTTTCTAAAAAACTTTCACAACACTCAGGCTTTTACATTTGAATATTAAAAGCACTGCTGCTCGTTTTTATATATAGTACATGACAGTGCTGAACGACTGTTTCCATAGTGATCTTTGTTGTTTAGTGTCAAATCTGCTGTATATTTAGCAAGAACCCATCTCACATGATTGCAAAGAAATATAAATAATTTTAAGACAATGTTGATCTTTATCGATCACAATAAACTCCTATTATTATTGCTAGGACATGGTTTTTCGATTGTTCTAAGAACGAATTTGAAAATCCCATGCATTATCTTAAAAATGATCCAAAATACTATTGGAAGCGATTCAAGATACATTCCACAATGGGTCTGATTTAATTCACTGACTGACAATGCGTTTTTTTGTTGTGCTGTAGTGAGGCTAGACTGTGTGTGTTGTGTGGAGGGTAGAACCTCACCCTTAACTAAAAATTTTTGTGTTGTGTAGAGGGTAGACCTCACCCTTATCTCGAAATGTGTGTGTTGTGTTGAGGGTAGACCT